TACATATACATATACACACACATACATATACGTATAAACAAAACCAGATTAGGCTATCGCCCTGCATTGTAAGTCAGTATAGCGCACCACAGACACAAGCTCCTGCGAGCTCCCACCATCACAACAATGATACCCCATCGCAAAGTGAGAGCCTGCACTACATTGACGAATACAGTAAAGAGTTTTTATCTGGGGTTGACACACCTTCACAGTTTAGAAGGTCGTCCCTGATTAAAACCCAAATTGGGTCAGATTGCCCAAAAATGGAATTGCATTTCAAAATAGAGTGAACAATAGTGATAATTGCCTAGGAAGTGAATGGAAGATTAGAATGTTGTGGTAATAATATATGATTTAGTTGACTGGCATTACAGATTAGATTTACTTTATCACCTGTTGTTGCAATAGTTGCTCATTAGCTGTACTGTATCTATATGTACCTTGATACTAGACAGGCATGCTATGGCTATGGTTTCTGTGTGCAAAAGATATGGTGCAATTAACAACAAGGCTAATGTCAAATGGTTTGATAAGATAAAAAGTACCAGCACAAAAAAACTAAGTTTACTACAGAAAGGGCAAGACTTTTTTTATACCTTGTGAAGCGAACCACCGCCCGCCAATATTAATGGTGATTTCAAATAGAAATAAAATTTTATTTTCCACCAATTAACGTAACAACTAAGTCGAACAATTATTAAATGGCATTTTGGATTCGACTTAGGCAAGTTCAACTGTAATTTGATACTAGACAGTCCCTTTGTTACTCTGTAAAAATACAATTAAAATTCATACAAGTGTTTTGAAAGAAAAAAAAACCACTACTGTAGTTATATCCTTGAGAAATTGACATGCATCCTACATCACACCTGTAAAAACCCAAAGTTTTAAGATGATTGTTCAGGTAAGTATAGACTTATCATGAAATTGAAGAGCAAAATCAATAGTTACATGGTTGAGAGGACTTGTGGAATGTTGTGGTCTACCTGTTGACAATTACTATTGATCCAATGTCTCGCATTAGGGTTACACAAATATTTCCACAACAGAAGTACAATACCTGATGCATCCCAAGCTTTCAGTTGCTTAGTGCACATGTTTTTATTTATGTTTGTTGACTGGTTACAAAGTCTTAGTGTTTGTTGTTCTTCTTTCTATTTTGGGGGTCTGCGCAAGGCGCTGTCCCCAGAACCTTCCTGCTGTTTTTGTTCTTGTTCTTGTTACCAAAATTTTGAAAGCGTCCAGCGTCGCCAAGTTTGAACGGACGTGCAGAAAATGTTGTACACATTGTACACATAAACTAGAGGTGATTTCCAACATTCATCGGCCTTTTTTAAGTTAGACCCCAGGGTTCCACCTATACCTACAAAACAAAACAAAGGTTTCAGCAAGGACTACATTACTGCAAGTCACATGGATGGCGCAGTCAGTTAAGGATGTGTCCTAAAACAACCAAAGGTCTTGAGTTTAAATCATGTCTTGGTATTCATTATTTTTTTTTCAACTTTTAATACATTTTATTTATTTTTTTGCAACTTTAGGACAATTTAATTTTGTACAAATGAACATTCTAAATACTGTAATTTTTTTTTTGTGTGCAAATAAACATTCTAATTATTTAAACATTTCAATTTTATTAGCTCTTTCAGTATATAATAACTTGCGCCTGTAACAGTATTTAAGCTTGGAGGAATGCGCGGAGTGGTGAGAGCTGGTCACTCTTGTTAGAATCAAAATTATTGGGAAGTATGCAGGTCTCCATCCAATTAAAGACCACTTTTTCAAATGGTTTTCATAGTCTTTAGCATCTATATAATAATTAATAAAGAAATTTGGTCATTTGTGACCACAGAAAAATTGGAGAGGTTTTTAAATAGAGGAAGATGCCTCTATTCCAATCTTAATTCACAAATAAAAATATAATAAGATATGGAGATAGAATGTAGGTTTTTAATGTTATGTTTCTGTGGTCTGGCTGTTTTAATAACCAAGAGAGACTACCACCCGACTGTATACTATTATCCTTACTTTTCAGACTAAACATCAAATGTGTATGCATTTGTGACGTTTAGTGACGTAGCTTTCCGAGTCTAAGTACTGCCATGTGACTAAACGTCAAATTGTGTATGCAGTAATTGTTGTCATGATTATTCCAGCTTGAAGTTTTTAGCCTGTTGGCATTAATTATTTATGCAGTGATTGTTTATAATTAATGCTGGTATCACATGTGTACAGCTACAGTTTACTGGATATCTACCAGGCCTCTGCATCAGGTGTTGCGTTCCCACCCTTCCTGTCTGGGGGATTAGATATCTGTTCCAAAAATATCTGTCCAGGGTCCAGTAGTTTTAATCTCATTGATATTCAATGAAAATTCTGGGCATTTATGTACTTTCCTCTTTTCTTTTATTAGTCTAGAAATTTATTAGACACCCTGTCTGTGCCCCATTTACGGATGCTATTATTTAATATTAGAATAACTGACACTGCTTAGAGGATACTGTTTGTTTATTGGATTGAAATATTATTTCAAATTGCCAAGTGATAAATTTAGCTGATAGTTTATGAATTCCATATACATTACTACTTTGACACTTAGATGTAGGCAGGGTAGTAATAAATGTCAGACAGTACCTTGTCAGAGAATGTAAAGTACACATTTCAGAGGTGCTGCCAGGTTTCCACTACCTGCAGTCTTAATATCATTGGTACTAGTTCAAATCGCACTCTTCACTCTGGGTTTAAAAAATATTTTTTTCCAGTACCACAGAAGACATGCGCGCGGGGGTGATAAACTAATAATTTTTCTTATTGGGCCTAAACATACTCTGAACCGTAGGCCCAGTGTGCAGAATTCGCTTGTGAAACTAGCAGTGGTGACGCCAGTGTTTGCCACTTCCCAAAACATAAATGTTGTAAAAATACAACCTAACACAGTAACCACAAATACTTATCAGCATAGGGTTTGCCCAAAATATATTTGTTTTAACAGACCCTTCCTTTCCATAACAGCCGTCTTGCCCTTTTTCAGTAAAAATTCCTCACTCAAAATTGCAAGTAATTTAGTAAAGTCAACCCAGAAAAATAATGTTACCAATACCTTTTAGCACATGACAAGAAGATAACCAAACAAATTCAACAAATACACAATGCCCAAAATACACTACAGCAGTAGTTTCTTTTAAACTTTATAGTCAATTAACGATGATAAACATTAATTGGTTTTTGTTTTTAATACTAGGGTGTTAATCCATCTTAGTCCAATTTTCCGTAAACATTAAGGATTGAACATTTCACATCTAGCATAATAAAATTTAGAGGTGATGACTTGTGTCAGGTTTGTTGATAAAAGCACTCCTTTTAGAGGAAAAATGTGGAAATTGAGTCTTCTTGGACTCTCCTATTCCATCCTATAGGTAGGTCATTGACCTATCATAATCTAAGTACTAAGGGATAAAAAATGTTTGGAATGCAATTAATCTCCTTTAGTGAAAGATTTTCATAAGCAAACAAAATTAATGATTTTTTTTTTGTGCTACAGTATTAC